TTTGCACCAATTCTTCAGAAGTTGCCGTTTTTGGCCTGCCAGAACGCGGAGCATCCTCAGTGCTAGTACGACCACGTTTAAAGTCCGCTACCCAGGTTTTAACTGTGGTAAATGAATTTATTTATTTATTTATTTAAAAAATATATTCGAAATTAAAAGGTATACAGTGAGATGTGAATTATAAATTTTATATTGCAAGGGAGTTTTTTTTTTAATGAGTACATCTTCGAATAATTAACAACTCTTTAATCTATTAAAGTAATATATTTTTTTTCGAACTAAGTAAATTATTTTTCTTGCTTTCGCGCGTGGCTTTGATCTGTCGCACTCTTTGATACGCGTTGCAAAAGAAGATTTTCTAAAAAGTTTTCCAATGTCTATAGATGAGAAAAAAATGAATCTGACCCGAGATCAAGCTAATTGTGCATTGTGGCACAATAAAAGACGACAACGTGTCACTACTTCAAAATATGGAGACATTTGTAAAAAACGAATCGTCTTCTTTAAAAATCTCATAAAACTCTTATTTTTTGCTAAAACCACCCAATATGGCTTGAACAATAAATCCAGAGCAAAATAAGATTTGGAAATTTATTTACAAGAAAAAAATTTAAATGTGGACTTTTTATTGATTCCGAATTTAATTATGTTGCTTCCAGTCCGGATGGAGTTTAAAACCAAAAAAACTCTATGAGTTAAAATGTCCATATGGAGCTAGAGTGCTGAGTGTAGAAGAAGGAATATGTAGTAAAGGAATAACTTTTTGGGCTAGCTGCACATTCCACAAATGGAGATTTGCATTTTGTGTGTTTGGACTCCTCGAGGAATAAAAGTGGAGAAAATTCCTCATAATGACAGCTTTTGGGAAGAAAACATGCAAAATAAAATTCAAAATTTGTATACGCAATACTAGTTGATAGCAGAGCTATTAGAGACATGGAAGTACGGGACAGAATACCAAATAAATGGTGAATCTTAAATTATTTGGAATATTTTTATTAATTTAAGAGTTACACTTTATTTATTTCTAAAACATGGTAGTAAGCGATCCATTTAAAATATGATTAATGTCTCATTATTATTATTATTATTATGATAAGCTTTTTTAATTTTTAGATTTTACCAGTGGCAGTGGGAATTAAAGGTATATAATTATTATACCAAATATTTTAACTAGTGGACCACGTTTTTAAGTTCACAAATAATAAAATCTGATTCGGATTAGTAGTTTTACTGCAAAGGGTTTTGTGCCAAAGCCAAGCCATGTATTGATATTGTAAAACGTAGATGAGTAACTATCACATCAATAGAAATTGAAAATTCACATACGAATCTTTGTAACGTAATTATTTATAACTTTAATAACTTCATACGGTCAAAAATTTTAGCTTATTTAATTCTAAATATAAATTGAATTTCATTTTAAAAGTTCATTATATTGTTTAATTGTTGCATCTTTACTGCGCTTAAGTACCGTTCAGATTAAAATATGAATTGATTTATGTAGCTTAACTGAAATACAGGAACTAATGCTTTTATTCCAAAAAAAAAAGTATTATGGCCAATAAAAAAAATTCGAACGGAGATATCATCAAGTCATTTAAAACACTTAAATATTAATATTATCATTAAGAGTTTTGAAAAAAATTGTCTGTGTGTCCACCATTACTCCCAAACGGTTTGAGGTATGGATTTCAAATTAAAAAATATATTCTAAAAAGGTCTAAAATAGTTTTTAATATTTTTAGCGATATAAAATATTTTATACGATAAAACGTGGCGTGGAAGTATTGATTCAAGTTACAGCATTTTTTAAAATCTGTGTTTAATGCTGACCCGCCCTATATAATTCAATGTTTTGGTAACAAGCTCAGAAGAGTCATTTATACACAATACTCATTGCCTTTGTGGAATTTCATGGAACTGCAATATTTTAATTTAGGCAGGTTGTGTTACACACAACTTGTTGAAATGCTACGGACTCCTCATGAAAAGCCTTGGTAGATTGTGTAGCTTCATGATTTTACCCAATATGTCGACGCTTCATAATATGACTAGGGTCTTCATGAAAAAACGAATTTCATTATGACATATACATTATTATTGAAAATTTATATTAAAGAAGGACATCGGTTCTGACAGACCTAATTAAAGAACATTCCCTTGTGAAATTCAAGGAAACATGTGATGAACCAAGAAACTGCAGTTTCCAGGAAACTTTTAAGTTATCCTGACAAGACTACAGCAAACAAATACTTGACTATGACTAGGCAGAATCTGCGCTTGATTACCAGATTCTGATTGGTCAATTGCCAAGTACGGAAGCATCTCCATATCATGGGGCTACCAGATTCCGCACTCTGCGGAAGATGCAAACAAGAAGATGAGAACATTGAGCATATCCTCTACGATTGCCCGATGCTCTTATTTATTAGATTTGTGTTCAACGAGTATCGGCTAACACCGGCCGATATAGGAAAAACATCTTTTGGCGACGTTGTCAACTACATTAAATCTGTAGGCTGGCTCACGAGCTAAGAGGTTCCTATGATCTTAAGAGGATGCACAATAGAAATAGCGAGGCCTAAGTGTCGTGGGGGGTAACATCCACACGTTACAGATATTAAAGAAGGGAAGGTTGACTATAAAAAAAAAAGAATTTGGTTAATGAACTTACGACATAAAAATAATGTTGTTTTGGTCCTTATTTCCATTCTAAATCAGCACAAAATACAATACACGACAAAATAATCCACTTTCTTGAAAACTAAATAACTTTAACAAGCAATATAAACACACTACAACAAGTCGCTACAACAAGTTGAGAATAAATTAAATATGATTGAATGAATGAAGTTATGCATATGCAACTAACAACACAAGAAAGTAATATTGGTTGCATAGATGTTGGTAATTTTTTATCAAAACACAATTTAATAAATAATCTAGTCAAACTTAGCAAAAAACATTGCATGTAATACGTTACGAAATGCCATTTTGTGTAACTCCTTCATGTTGAGGGACCTCGCTCTGCTCCTCATGCAAATATTCACTCGTTACATAAATTAGGCATTTCGTAACTGGTTGCATAAATAGTTATCAAACGGCACATTTAAGATTAAATAAAATGGGGTTGTTTTAAATGGGTATTTTTTATTTAAAATATTACATTTATCAGTTTTCAATAGTAAGATGACCTAAGTTACCATATCTTTAATTTGGCCAAAAATTAGATTTTCACACAACGGTTTTATACACAAGGATTAGATTGGATAAGATTTAAAAGGACATTATTTGTCCTTGACCACCGCGATCTTTTCAGAACTATTGTGATTATGGGACCCCGTTATTTTTCACAGGGATACCCCGTCCTTAATAATAATTTACTCCGCCTGTGTTAAGTTCGAGGTGTGTCAGCACCGTAGCCTAAATTTATTTTTACGTTTGTTTATTCTAAGAAACGAAGCATTGCACACCTTGGCCTACAAGTTTTACAAAATGCTACAACTATTGAACTTGCTCTTTTAAAACACATTAAGATGTGAGACATTTTACTGGAGGCGTATTTAAAATTTCGAGAATTAGAATAAAATACACGTTGCTAAATGTTTGATTATTTTTGCTGTAATTTTTGCGAAAAACATAGATTAAATGTAAGCATTTAACTATTGGCAGCCCATTGAAATAATCCAAATAGTTGTGATTAAAATATTTACAAAAAATTTTACCTTGTAATATCAGAATTGCGAGTTAATTATTTATCTGTTTAACCACTGGCGACTCGTCAGCAAGACTTTTAAATAAAAAAAATAATAAAAGAAAGAACTAAGAAACTAGGTATGTACATAGAGGTATAAGACATTACAAGATGCAATAAGAACCTACTTTCTTCTAAATTATAATTTTTAACAATGAACTCGATATTTAATTTTAAGACGTCACAGTCACAGTCTTTATTGCTTTAACCAGTGGCATAATCGACAATCAGTGGCAACAAAACATATGATAAACTTATGGATATGACCTTAATAAAGTAAAATCGCCTTGTCTGTGTTAGTATACGAGGCAACTTTCATATCAACACGGATTTTAGAATGTCTGGTTTTTCAGAAAAATAGTTTTTTTTTCAATAAAATGATCGATTATGTTTTTGTGGTAAAATTCTTTATTGAGTTACAAATCAGAGGTAAGTGTGTCTGAGGAAAAAACAATTAAACAGGTCATATGATACATTAAAACGTAATAAACATAGTATAGAACATATACTTAGATTGTATACATCTTTAACATTTGTAGCACACTCAACTATAAGAAGTTTATGAAAATGCTTGGGATAAGCTGATAGATTCCTACTACATGTGACATTTAATTTTTTCCATGCCAAGAAGATTGGAAAGTATTGTGGCAGCCAATGGCTCTACAATAAAATATTAATAACATTATTCTTGCTATAGCTTCTAAATTGCGAGGACAGCATTATCTTCTTGTCTTTTTGTCTGAAAAATCTTTGCAATCTTTGTTGTTCTTACCAGCATTTCTTAACGTAAAATATATGCAACTTTAACTGACATTTAATTCAACACCCACTTCACTTAAAGACCAATTTTTGTACAATTTTGATGTTCTCTTATAATAAATTATTTTTGTAGTTTTTATGTGCCTAAATGTTAATTTAGTTTTGTAATAAATAATATGTTTTAATTTTATATTCTTTTAATTTTAAGACCGATTCGATTGAACGATATTAATAAAAGTAATATATTTTATTTCTCAATATGCTCCCTTCTCTTTATAACACTACTGGCCAAAGCCAGACTTACAGGAATGAATTTCAGTAAAAAATCTCATGACAATCAAAAAGCGTTCACATTTGGGTTGCGCCTACTGTATACCTAATATTGGTAAGGTACTATTATAATAATGCCAGTAAGAAACAAATAAACCTGTTCTAAAATAATGATTTAATAACTTATTAACTAACTAACATTTTATTTTTCTAGTACACCAAACCTGAAGACCATCAACCCGGTGTCCAGGACACAATTGAAGCTCCAGTTGATGAGAGATCAAGCCCTTTACGAGCAACAGAAGCAAAACCAAGAAAAAACCCAACGACCACCACCTCACCCCCAACATCCACCGATAGCAACAAACAACTTAATTCAAAGTCCTGTTAAAGTACCATTAAATAGTATAGCAGAAGTTCCTCCGCAAGTCCTTCAAGTACAAACAAAGTTAGCGAATCCAACGAAGTACCATGTGATGCAAAAGCAAAAAAACCAAGTGAAGCAGTACCTCAGTGAATCGTTTCAAGTTTCTAGTGATGTGCCGCCTAATGATAGGCTGAATCAGACTCATAGTGCTCCAACTTGTGGTACCGCGACCACTCAATACAACGGTGCTACGAATATTTCTAGTTCGCAGGGATACTATCCACATGGAAAAGTGTTGCCCAACTATGATATACCCGTTTTATCGCCAGCGCTTAGTTCGGGAGCTACCAGTTGCACATCTGAGGTGAGGTATAAGCTGTCTTATTTTATTATTAGAGACCCAGGTAATCACAAATTCATTATAAAGAAACAAAAAATGTCATCTCGTATAAACGTGCATACTAATTTTGCTCCAATTTTCACCTATCAACTTTTTATGGTAGTGATAGTTTCCAAATAGAAAACTGGTACCAAAACAGAAGCACTATTTAGTTTAGAGTCCTATAGATTTGTTTTTTCCATCAGCATAGACAACATCGAGCTTCTTAATAACTCAAATGTCATAAATAAATCCATGAAATACAGTATGTGGCTTGACCTTTGATCCATTTTAAAATGTCCAAATTGTTGATGTTTACTTCGCGTAAAGCTTCGTAATATTCTAGTACCAACCCTTAGCAAATTCTTGATCATCCAGGGCGAGTAGTGTTTGTTTGATATCTGTATAGAAGAGTATTTTTCTTCTAGTGATATTGTTTCTGGTAATTGCTTTTGTTGCTATGAAAATCCCCGCGTGCTCAGTTTGAACTGCACTGGCGAATCCCTGTGAATTCAGTTTGAACTGCACTGGCACTATTACTCATAGCTTATATCTATCGTGTGTGTACAAAGTCATCTATACTTAGAGTAAATCGTGGGATAAGTCAATCTTTTCTATCAGGGTCGTTATTAAACTTGGACTTCATAATATAAATTACAAAAATACTTTTTTTGGTGGGAAAATTAGTATAAGTCGACTTATAAGACATATAACATAAATTTACTCAGCTTCTAAATTTTTGACTTATACTCTATTTGTTTCGTTATATTAACTAAAAATTTTTCTTAGGTGGAACGGTAGTAAAATCACGGTTATTGTACTCTCTTTGCTTTTGTAGGTACGTGTATTCTTCGTTCCGCGGAGACTGATCTTTAGGCAGAGAGATCGTTGTCCACGTCAGCTCGGCCAATACCATATAGGTAAATCATGATAATTATAATAAATAGTCCGTAAAGCTCCAGGATCAACTGGTTGACCCTCGAAGGCAAGAAACACTTTTACACTTTTGTGTTAGTGTATCCCTCATGATAGACGTATGATGGTTGGTCATGTAGATAGGTGTGGAATAACTTAAGGGGCGATAAAATAGCCGGTTCTCTAAATCTAGCCATCAAATAACGATCATTGTCGGCAAGCGATATTTTTGTTAGTTGTTAGTCGGACAGTAGGAGGAGTCAACAGATCCAGCGTGTTGTATGTATCATCTTGTGATTCTGTTATAATCTGAAAGGACTTATCACAGGAGAAGTTGTTGGATTTACATGCTGAGAGGTCAGAAGAGACGGTCATTACTGAAGGTCTATTTGGGCGGAAAGTTTTACTAGAGGAATAATCCAAATCAGCAGGGGTTTCGTGATTATTCTTCCTCGGTTGCGGAGTCAAATACTTTGGGACAGTCGAAGCCGTTGGGGAAGTCGAAGCCGTTGGAGAAGCTGAAGCCTTTAGGGGAGTCGAAGCCGTTGGGGAAGTTGAAGCCTTTAGGGGATTCGAAGTCTCTGGGGGAGTCGAAGCCTTTGGAGGGGTAGATGATTTGGTTGACCATTGAACTAAGACTGCAGCCGACCAGATATTGTTTAATAATTTATTAGCGGAATTTCTTGACTGTAATGCCATTATAAATGTTGCTCCCTTAGATTTATTTAATTGTTTTCATTAAGGGGTAACAACGAATATACTCAGTGAAACACAATTTTAGTAGAGCCCGAAGGGAGATTGTTAACTACTACGCAATGCCACTTTTGATTAAGAACTTTGGGATCTTTTGAGATGTTGAATACTTCAGGAGTCGACAAAAACGATATATATCTCGACAAGATGGCGCCAAAAGCGAAGTATCGCCTTAGCAGATTCGTGTCATTGTCATCAGAACAACCTTCCTAATGAAAATATCAAGGGAAGTGAGACTAAGTATGACTTCCATGGCTCTGCTTGGTGTTGCTTTTGGTTTTCACGGCTCGGTTTATGTTGAGATATGTTGTTCTTTGTATTTGTTCTGGTTTGCGGATAGTTTTCAATTGTTGGGTTTTCGGTACCCAGACAACTGCATAAATCTTATGATTGTCGCGTAAGTCCAAGTAACGGCTTTGGAGAAGTCACTTCAGGTGCGCCCCAGTATGGGTGGTTCTGTCAACAAAGGTCAACAACAGACCTTCTAGCTTTTATCACCCAAATTTGGAACAATGCGGTCAGATTTGGTCCCAAAGCTAATTATTATTAACGATATTCTTTTAACCAGTCGTTTAATAGAAAATATCAAGATGTGGTTCAAATGGAAAATAATTAAAACAACACCCTCGTTATGTGAAATGAATTTATAGTTCTGCAAGGCACTTGTAGTAATCCTCGTACTCTTACTCTTTATGTAGTAGTAGTAATGGCAATTTTCAAACTAATTAGAATCATTGCTCTTTTTGATAACTTGTCTAATTATGAGTGTGAGATAAGTTTATTCAATTTTTACTAAAAAGATTGAGTCGACTTTTGGCAAATAGTTTATACAACGTTGCTATTAGAGATTTTATTTACCCATTTACAAAAAATATAATTTTGGTTGTTCAAAAATAACTGCAGCTTGTGTAATGACTTTTAATGATTTGGCAGTTTCTTATATGTACAGGTGGCCACAATATCTAATAATATTAATTAGTTGAATAATTTTGTTACAAAAATTGTTTTTGATGAACAGTAAAAATTATATTTTGTTGGATGTCAAACAGCTGCCACGTCAATTAATGAATGCATTCTGTAATCAGTACTGAATTTATGTGGTTCTATATATAGTTTCTCATATTTTCGAAGATAAAAATACACAATTTTATTAATTTGTATACATAATTTTTATTACAATTCAAATACGTATGTATACTGATAATTATTATGTTTGTGACAAGTATATATGGACGCTTTTAATTAGATTAGTGTCACTTTAACCAATGAATCATAATATATGTACATACGCAAAACTTAAAATAATAATAAAAAAAAACTTATATTGTGTAGTGTATAGCATATACACTATGCTGCAAATGAAAGAAATGAATTCATTGTTTTGTAACTCGCTTACTTCTGAAAAACCTGTGTATTTTTGATTTCAGACGATAATTTTCCATTTCTTCACTCTTGGGTTCTTCCCACTTTATCTTGTCACTCCTATTCATAACATCTTTGTAACTTCTTGGTTCTATACTATTCGAGTTTGACACTAACATATTTGTATACCATTCTGGTGGTTTTCCCTTCGTCATTCTTTGTGATCTTCTTATCTCGTTACCTTCCGTTTCTGGTGATTCTTCTAAAACCAACTTATCACTATCCATTTCTGAACAATTTCCACTTTCTAAAATTTCTTTGTCTTCTATAGAATTGTCCATGAAAAACTCTAATTCATTTAAATTTTTGGTTTTAACTCCTTCGTCTTTATAACTTTTTAAAATATATACATCTTTATCATAAACATTTTCAACAAAATGTACATCTTTACTAATAATTATTTTATTGTTACTCATATCTAATAACCTATAAACTTTAGATCCTTCTGCATATCCAACTAAAATTCATTTCTTTGATTTATCATCTAACTTTCTTCTTCTTCTTCTTCTTCTTCTTCTTCTTCTTCTTCTTCTTCTTCTTCTTCTTCTTTCATCTGGTATGTGTGCATATGCAATGCTTCCGAAAGTTCTTATATAGTTAAGCGATGGATGTTTACCAAACCACAATTCGTATGGACATTTTCCATCACCTCTTTTAGTAGATAGTCTATTTTGTAAATATGTAATTAGCTGTAGAAACAGCTTCACCCCAATACTTTTTATCTATCTTTGTATCTAGTAGCATTCATCTTGCCATTTCTGTTAGATAACGGTTTTTTCTTTCTTCTTTTTCGTTCTGTTGAGGTGAATACGGAGCTGAAAGTTGTAATTTTATTCCCTCGTTTTTTAGAAAATCATTAAGTTCCTTATTTACAAACTCACCGCCCCTATCAGTTCTTATTATTTTTGATTTTAAGTTTAATTTATTTTCATTTTGTCTGACATACTCTTTAATTTTAAGGTAAGCTTCACTTTTCTTCTCCATTAAATATACTTCAGAATAAGAGCTAAAATCATCCATTATTGTTAAAATACACCTCTTGTTGCCTGGAGTGATAGTTTGCATGGGTCCAATTATATCTGTATGTACAATTTCTAAAATATTAGAAGTTCTGGTGGTAGAGTTTTTAGGAAATGGTAATCTTGACATTTTTCCACGCAAACAACAATCAAATGTTAAAATTTTATTACAATTATTTAGTTTTTATCCAGAATTTTATTTTGAAACATCTTTTTCACAATGACTGGATCCCGATGACCAAATCTTCTGTGCCACGAATGTATACATGCGCTTGTTGTATTATCCCATACAGAATATATTTTCTCAGCACTTTGCAGCTTATATAAATTATTTTCTGAAATAGCGTATGTCTTATTGTTTCTTCTTACTTTACATATACCAGAAGAAAAATTTATTTCAAACCCTTTCTTTTCCAATTTTCTTACTGAAAGTAGACTGTTTTCTAAATCGGGCACATATAAAACATCAATACCTTGTACATGTAACTTTTTTCCATCAGCTAAATAAACTTCGTTTTGAATACTTTTACTTATTGCTGTAAAGAAATTTTTATTGGGGGTCATGTGACTTGTACAGCCAGAATCCATGTATCATGATTCACTTTTAATATTATTGGTGTTTATTGTATTAAAGCATATACAGGGTGGCTCACGCTCAACGGGACGGAGCTTTATGGGAAAACGACCAAAGATATAAAAAATTCGTTTGGGAGGAATACGTAGGTTACAGACGGCTACAATTTAAAATTTGTTAGATGTACACAGGATGTCCCTTGTAGAGCTTGATTTTTACTAAAAATTGCAAGTTGATATCTCTATCGTTTTCGAACTTTTAAAATATTTCAACACTTTTTGATTTTTGTTTTTTTTTTTAAT